TCGGCGACACCATGAAGTCCGGAGTCGTTGAAGTTCGAGTTTATTTTACACATTGCCGGCGGGCCAGTAGGTACTCATACAATCCCTAGTACCTAATTGTATACATTACCAAGCCAAAGTATAAAATGGAATACAATATTTATAATACTTCATACATTGTCTTACGATGGACGGCCCAGGTATTCTTTACATTGCCTAAATATTGTATGGAATACCTGAATTATACAGATTGCCAGTAACATATAATATAAATAAATAAGACACTACAGAACGGTCTTTCTAAAGCAATAATAATATAACTCAATGATTTTATTATCTAAAGAGATAATTATAAGAGAAAGCTAAATATGCTTCCTGCATGAGGCTTGCAAGGAAACAGAAGCTTTGATGATTTAGATGCAAAAAGAAGAATTACTTATATTTAGAACTCGCTTTGTCAAAAAGTTATCAGCTCTCATGTAGAGATAACTCTACACGCCCTAACCCTACAAGGCCTTACTTCACAAACTCTACACCTTAGCCAAAATATGTGGCTTGGCCATTCTTAGGTCTAGAGTTGTTGAAGATAGGCCGTGTAGAGTTAGTGCCACCAGTGCGGCGACCCGATGGATACGACGCAATGCGAGCTGGAGGAATGCCCAGTTTATTCAGCAATGCGATCCGTATTCACTGCAGTCGTGGGAACCGGCCTCTCTTTGCCAGCCGTAATGGCTTTAATGTTAGAGAGTGAAGTGTTATGGATAACTCCGGAGGCCGAAGAGCGCCTGTGGAAGCGGATCCTACTATCCGAGACGACGCAGAACTGCCCGTGTTCTAATCTCGCAATAGGGACCTAGGGTTTTAGGCATGGGGAATGCCTGGTGCCTATAACAAAGTTTTAAGGACCCCTGAGTAGAGTGATGCATAAGTTTGCTTTCCTTCCGGAGGGGACTTGCCAATTCGGCAAGCAATCGGTTTTGGCTAGATGCGAACCGGACCCGTGGCGACACCAATTGCCGATGCTGTATAGAACACCGTGTGGGTTTTAGTCGGTATGGCCGTCCTACTGACTAGGGGAAAATATTTTCGCCAAGGGGGTGGGTATGCGTTGAGTTAGCGGCTTGGTTCTACTTGAGATCTGTTAATTTTTTGAAAGTGGCAGTCATATGGGCTCGTCTTGGTAACATTTAACTTGAAAATGTTTTTGGTGGTCATTTCATTTCATTTCTTTTTGGAACTTGCTTGTAACACTATTTTTTGCACGCATGAAAAAGTGTGACGTTATGTAACGTTATGTCACGAGTAAGTTCAACGTTCCGCGGTGTGTGTGGGATAAGGCCGAGGGATTCCTTCGATCCCTCCCCTCTGAACGTCCTGACCATCCCTGACCCCCTAACCCCCCTTTACCTCTAACCCTACCCCGACCCTCGAAAAGTACTCCGCTCCCACGAAGTCTAACCCGGGCCACCATAGAGCCACAGTTTACATGTCGACCAATAACGGACAGTCGCATGATGATTTTTGAAAAAAATATCGAACATAGACTTAATTTTTTACAATATTCAGATGATATAAATGATATGTATGGAAAGTTATTTCATAAAATAAGTATAGAATTTAACAGGACATTTAAGCCAAAAATTGTTTCAATTAACTCAAAAAAGAAATTTAGTGATTGGGCTACTCCAGGAATTAACATTAGTAGAAGAAAATTATACGATTTATACTCTTAAAAGTCCACATCCACAGACCAATCTTTTATAAACTATGTCAAAAATTATTCAAAAATATTTAAGAAAGTTTGTAATGTTGCAAAAGGTAACTTCCTTCGCAATAAAATTAAAAATTCCTCTAATAAAATTAAAAGTACATGGAAAATTATAAATCAAGAAATTGGTAAATCATCATATAAAGATAGGTCCTTTGAAATTAATATTGAGGGTAAAATGTTAAATACGGATACAGCGGTAGCAAACGCTATGGAGTCCTTTTTCTCAGGCATTCCTACAAAAATTACTAGCAAACTGAATTCATCCCCCGAGTCTGCACTTTCCTTTTTAGAATTTAGTATTAATAAATGTAACAACTCTTTTAATTTTCATGAAATTAACGCCGATATCATTATAAAAACCTTTAAATCCTTAAATAATAAAAAGACAGAAGATCTATGGGGTATATCAGTTGCAGTTATATCACCAATAATCAAAGTTATTGGCCCCTACTTATCTGCTATTTTTAATAATTGTATTAACGACGGAGTGTTTCCCGACCTAATGAAATATAATAAAGTTATTCCACTATTTAAGTCTGGAGATAAATGTGATTCCAATAATTTCCGCCCAATATCCATTTTACCAACATTGAGCAAAATATTTGAGAAAGTTATGTACAATCAATTACATTGTCATTTTACATTGAACAAACTATTTCATGATAGGCAATTCGGTTTTAGTAAAGGTAGAAATACTACGGATGCAGGTGTTGCGTTGATGAAACAAATATTTGATGCTTGGGAAAATAAACAAGATGCTCTAGGTGTCTTCTGTGACTTGTCCAAGGCCTTTGGCTGTGTAGAACATAAAACCTTATTGGGCAAATTACAACATTATGGCGTTTCAAAAAACTCACTAAAAATGATTGAATCATATTTGAGTGATCGATTGCAAACAGTTGTTATAAATAAAGCAAAGTCTTCTGGAGCTCCTATTATTATGGGCGTGCCACAGGGCTCGATATTAGGACCATTACTTTTTTTGATTTATATAAATGACCTGCCTTTCTATGTTAACAACTTATGCGAGACGGTATTATTTGCAGATTATACATCCCCAATATTTAAACTAAATAGATATACAGAAAATGTTGACGATGTGAATAATGCCCTTTCCAAAGTAGTGAGTTGGTTCACAAATAAAACAAAATGTATCAAATTTTCAGTACCAAATGTTAGGCAGGTTAGTACAACTATTAAAATCAACGAAGAAATAATACAATGTGTTGACTCAACAGTATTTTTAGGAATAACCTTAGATTCACGTTTGCAATGGAATCCTCATATAACTACCCTTTCAAGAAGACTTGGCTCGGCTGCTTTTGCTGTAAAAAAAATTAGATAACTGTCGGATGTCGAGACGGCAAGGCTTGTATATTTCGGTTATTTCCATAGTGTCATGTCATATGGTATGTTACTATGGGGAACAGCGGCTGATATTCAAGATATTTTTATATTACAAAAGAGAGCCGTACGCGCTATTTATAAATTAAAACCGCGTGATTCACTGAGATAATTATTTAAAGAAATCAATATTTTGACGGTTCCCTCGCAATATGTATATGACAACATTATGTATGTCCACAAAAACTTGCATACCTTTTTAAAGAATAGTGATTATCACAATGTCAATACAAGAGGTAAAAATAGACTTGCTGTTCCGACTTTCAGACTTCATAAAACTAGTCAATCATTTATGGGGAAATGTATTCAAATATATAATAAACTTCCACTTAATGTAACTGAACTTCCATTACATAAATTAAAACTTCATGTTAAGGAAATTTTAATGAAAAAGGCATATTATAAAGTTCAGCAATATTTAGACGATAAAAAGGTTTGGATACATTCCAATGTGCTCGATTCTCCACTGAAATCTAGAAAAATATAATTAAGTGTATAATTATTATTCTAAATTGACAATATTGTAAGGAAAGACGTCATGGATCACATCTTTTACATATATTCTTTTATTTCGTAGTAACTACTGGTCTTTTATTTATTTGTACTTTTAAAATTAATTAAACTATTAAAAACCTGATGTGGATTATGACTCTTTCCAAATAAATAATAATAGATAGCGTAAAGGGAGGACAAAACTTGCTGAGTTTCTTGCCGGTTCTTCTCAGACAAGGCCTTCTGGTAGACTCTTGAACCGATGGCATCAAATTTGACTTTCATAAGTGTGCAAATTGTACCTAAATGAATAAAGAAATTTTGACTTTGACTTTGACAGAGGCGTGCAGGCGTGGGCTCAACTGGAACAACAAGCCCCACAAAACTGCCTCTAGAAAAACTGATCTACACGTTATCACGTAAAATTATCGTCCGTAAACTGACTTTACAGATAACTATTTTTTCATTATTAAAGATATAATAAAATATATCAAAATTAATATCTTCCATAAAGGCAAGCTGTTTAACATCTGTATCCTCCCTGTTATAACAAATGCGTGTCAGACTTGGGCATTTACGTTAAACACCAGGAAAATAAGAATATTTTCCTGGTGGGCAATGGAACGAAGTATGGAACGAAGCATGCTAGGCAAAAGAGAAATAGAAAAATTCAGACAAAACACAGTACCATTGTGAAGGCAACAAAAAATCGAAATGTCTTATTGACGTCAAAATGGAGATGAGCTGGCCACATGTTATATGGTGAAGAAAAAGGGAGCAAGTCAGTACCTTATGGTACCCAAGACAGATAAAGAGAAGAAAAGGGAAACCACTCAAGAGATGGGAGGATGATATAGTTAAGTTAGCGGGGGAAATTTGTACAAGGCTGGCTAGCCAGAGGAAAATGTTTAATATCTTATAACGTGGCTGTATATAATGAGTATCTTTAGTCTTATTAGTTTAGAACTAAATATAAGGAGTTTTTGGCCTGATTTCATTGAGTGTGGTTAGCGTGGAATAAAATTGGTGTGATTTTGTGTTACAACTGTCTGCGTAACTGAAGAATTAGTAGAATCGTCAAAATATACGCTTTTCCGGTCAAGTGGACGTGAGAATTTTATTGTAGTATTGACTACCTCACAGAAGCTTATCGAAAAAGCCAGCTCGATACATTTCGTGCCAAATACTTCAAGAAACATTAGAATGCGTCACACCGACATTCTAATGTAAAAAGAAAAACAGAATAATTTAACATAAGACTAGGCTGTATGGGCATTGTTCCCCTTGCTTTCCCTGAAAAGGGAGAACTTAACCAAAAAAAAACTAATTAATAACTGAACTTTATTGATCTGTCAGTGTCACTTTGACAGAGGATTGGGTTCTCTAGCTTCAACTTCATACAAATTCTAAATGCTTTTATGGTTTTTAAATATTACTGAAAAACCGTGATAATTTGCTTTCTTTTCATATTTGACTGATTGAAATAAATAAGAGTAACTAATAAAGATGGGGCGGCGATCTATAAATACCACGAAAAGTGGTAAATACATGAATCCGACAGATCAAGCAAGTAAGTGGATTAGAAATGGATAATGCTCACTTTTTGAACACAGTATTTATATTATTCAATACAATTTCAGGAAAGGAAGCAAGAAAGAAGGAATTGAAAAAGAACAAAAGGCAAAGACAGATGGTCCGAGCAGCTGTTCTGAAAATGAAAGATCCAACACAAATTCTTGAAGAGCTTCAGAAGATTGATGAAATGGGTTTGATTAACTTCTAGAAACTTGTCCTTACAAAGCTTTTAAGTCAAAGATCCATTATAATGTTTTTTTTCACTTTCAGAATTTAATGTACTTCAGCCATCTCCACTCAATGAAAAAGTGCTCAAAGAGAAAAGAAAAAAATTAAGGGAAACTTTTGACAGAGTACTAAAGATGTATGTAAGTATGAATTTCACATGCTTACTATATTTGGAGCTGACAACTGCCATGAAGGGTATGTACAACTGTACATACCCTTCATGGCAGTTGGTCATCAAGGTATTGAAATTTAACAATGCTTTAGTTGCAATAGTAATGCTGATTTAGATATTTCCTTTTGCCAGGATAAAGATGATCCTGAAAAATGGGTTGAGCTGAAACGTCAAGAAATGGAATATGAAAAGAGAAGAGCCCATCTCATATCTTACTATGAGTCTGTAAAGCATGCCCAGTCAGTTCAAGTGGACGATATTCCATTGCCAACTTTACAAGTAAGAGAATATACACACATATGTATTTGCGTAGTATAGGCCATTAATTATAATAGTAGCAGATATTTACATCTCTTTATCATCATCAGCCTATTAATGTCCTCACTGCTGGGGCACAGGCCTTCCCCATGGATAGAATAGGGAGATTGCGCAGTGGCCCACCATGAGAGCTCATTGCGGATTGGTGGGTACTAACAACTGTAGATGCAGCTGGGACCAACATCCTAAAGTATCTTCCGAATCACGGAGGAGCTCAAGATAATAAGCTTATGGTCACCCATCCAATGACAGACCATTGCGAAAGTTGCTTAACTTTCATGATTGCAGGCTGAATGCACTAACCACCTGCACCATTCAGCTCTTCATCTACACCATCTTTTTAAAAGAGTAATTATTGGGATTAGAAGGTAATGTCAGTAACTATTAGTCTGTTTAAATGTAAAGAAAAGTTTTACTAGAAAAAAATCCACGCAGATCAGGCAGCAGATGGGACTTTTTTCTAGTAAAACTTTTCTTTAGATTTAAACATCTAGCAGTTAAATACTTAAAAAAGAACATAACTATTAGTCTGATTACTAAACATTCTTTCATTAATAAGAAGGTATTATTTTGAAGTAGTGAAATAGTTTCACCGAATCTTAATCTTACAGTTACAAAATGAATTCTAAAATGGGTGTCACTGTTCAATGTTATGGAGACTTACTGATCAATTATATCTTTTATGGATCCTGTGACTGGGACAGTGATGCTTGACTTTAATTTTGTCCATACCAAAGATAATGACAGAGCACACTATTGCCATTTCGCAGGATATAAAGCAATAAAGATTCTCACATACAAAGCCTGTTAAGCGAAACAAACTTTGACACAAATTGGGTCTTTTAAACACATAGCGAAAACAATGCATTTAGCAGCTTGTCATTTCTATTTTCAGGTTCCTGACAATTTGATATATGGCAATATGCCTTCACAGATACCTCTGCCATTAGATTCAGCTCACCCTAATGGACCAGTCAAACCTATTTTGAAGAAAGACTCTGCATACAGAGTAAGTTTGTTCATTCCTCTTGTTAAATGCATAAAACTGCAAACTTTTGTTAAACAATTATTTGATAAACCTTTTCTGCAAAGTTATATCAAAGTAACCAAGAGCAAGTGATGGTAAAAATTATCATTCTTTGACCATTAATGCTTCTTTGAATAGAACATATATCTATATATATAAAACTCAAAGGTGACTGACTGACATAGTGATCTATCAATGCACAACCCAAACCACTGGACGGATCGGGCTAAAATTTTTCATGCAGGTAGATGTTATGTCGTAGGCATCTGCTAAGAAAGGATTTTGATCAACTCTACTTTCATTCCCTATTTTACCCCCAAGGGGATAAAATAGGGAATGAAAGTTTGCATGAAACTTTGTCAATTTTAAACCGATCGAGCTGAGACTTTGCATGCCGGTATAAGAAGAATCATAGATGAATGTCATTGTGTATAATACAAGCCTGAGAACAAAAACTGTAGTCTACACTTCAGCTCTACACCGAAGCGAAGTGAGGGCGGGCCGCTAGTAGTTAAATAAGTCTTATTAATAAACAAGACTGGCAATAGCAGTTTTTGAATTCTGGGCACCCAACTGTTGGATCTCATATAAATAAAAAATCGTCTAAGTTACACCTGCCTATTAATCATTATCAGCCTATTGATTTCTCGCAGCTGGGGCACTGGCTATCGCTATAAATGGTGCAAAGAGAATTAATTCAATGTGAGCCCTGTGTGTATTGGTGAGTGCTAATGATTGTAGATGCACCCCGGACCAAACTGCTGTGCTTTCCAACCCATGAATGATGGTCATTGTAATGTTGCTTAATTTTCCAAATTTCAGACCGAATGCACTGAACCATGAAGATCATTATATCATCATTGCACTAGTGACTGTCGCTTAGCTTCAGTGTATAGTATAGTTATAGTTGTCGGGCTTGTATACATAATTATGTAAACCTTCCTCTTGAATCACCCTTTAGACATATTACTGAAAACTGCATTAACTGATTTTAATAGTAGGAGTATATATAAGGAGAAGCTTAAAAAATCTAAGAGTACAGACGGCAAGAGAGACTTTGCTTTATACTATATGAACATTTTGGATGTAATTGACAAAAGATATCACAGAGTGGTACCCCCGAGATGGAAAACGAAGAAGGGGTAGACAAGTGGAGCAATGGGAGGACGCACTACCCATATGTTAGCATAGAACAGCTAGGGACAAGACGGAATGGGTTAAACTGAATATTGCCTTTGCTTTAAGATAGTACAGGTGCCGATGTCGGCAGTTACATTTATAAGTTGAACTTAAGTCAGAGCTTAAAGGCTATTAATTTTTTAAATTTATTTTTATATATAAACATTTTACAGGAACGCCCGTTGGGTATTGAGCCACCAGGTGTCCCTCCTGGCCCACCCATAGACATCGCATTACTCGTAGCAGACGCGGCCAAGCTTAAAATCATCAAGGAAAAGAAGAACATTCGCTTTAACTGCTTGCCTGATGAAGGACCTCCTGGTGAATGCGTAAGTTTACGATAAATAAGATGATATTATGACGAACTATGTGGTTGCAACGGAAAGTAAAGCTACAATTAAAGCACTCATTAAGTTTTCATAGTAAAAGCTCTGCTATGTTTTGGACTTAATGGATCTCTATTAATGGCTTCTATCTATATCGATCGCTTTCTAGTATTTATTGTCATATTGACCTGAGAAGGTATCACAAATTTATATTCCCGTCCTTGTCGGATACTAAAAACAAGAGAGTATGTACAGTGCCAGTTCCAATAGCGAAAAGTGCTTTTGCACGGTAACAGTTTTATAATATAGCTCCTCGAGTTTACCAAAAGGTTTTGAAGATGCTGAACAAATTGGAATACAATGAAGTAGAGCAATTATTTAATTAACTGTTATTTAAATCTTAAGAAAAGTTTTACTAGAAAAAAATCCACGCGGACCAGGCAGCGGACGGGACTCGAACCCACATCCTTCGCTATCCGGGCGAATGCACTGACCATTATGCTACCACGGCCCTATTAGCCGCGTCGAAATTTTCCTAGCCTTGCAGCTTACTGCAAGGCTTTTTTTCTAGTAAAACTTTTCTTAAATTTAAACATCTAGCAGTTAAATGCTTAAAAAATAAATAAAATCTTAACTGTTATTTCGCCCACGCACACGTTTGATTTTTATTTAATTTTCTTTTGAATTGTTGTAGCTTTAAATTACATTTTTAAACCGCAACTACAATACTTTATTAAATTAACTATATACTTTGATAAGTGGGGAGAGCACTGTCTTCTGGTCATCAAGGTAACCTTTTCCAAAGGGCAAGGTTCCAAATTCTCATGTTCCAAAATGTAAAGTGGTTCCAATGAAGTAATTATTAATTGACCACACCGGAAAATACTATTTGACTATTTCCGCCTTTTATTAAACATGGACTTAAGTAAGATTTGGTTTAAATTTAACAGATTTATATGTTATGATTTTATTTATTTTTAAGCATTTAACTACTAGATGTTTAAATCTAAAGAAAAGTTTACTAGAAAAAAAAATCCACGCGGACCAGGCAGCGGACGGGACTCGAACCCGCATCCTTCGCAATCCGGGCGAATGCACTGACCATTATGCTACCACGGCCCTCTTAGCCGCGTCGAAATTTTCCTAGCCTTAGGCTGCAAGGCAGCGTCATCTCTTCGCATTGTAGGCAACCCACAATGTCAAATGAATATATTTCAAGTAATAAACATTTGAAAGAAGAAATAGCAATTATAGTTATGATTTTATTTATTTTTAAGCATTTAACTGCTAGATGTTTAAATCTAAAGAAAAGTTTACTAGAAAAAAATCCACGCGGACCAGGCAGCGGACGGGACTCGAACCCGCATTCTTCGCAATCCGGACGAATGCACTGACCATTATGCTACCACGGCCCTCTTAGCCGCGTCGAAATTTTCCTAGCCTTAGGCTGCAAGGCAGCGGCATCTCTTCGCATTGTAGGCAACCCACAATGTCAAATGAATACTTTTTCAAGTAATAAACATTTGAAAGAAGAAATAGCAATTATAGTTATGATTTTATTTATTTTTAAGAGGCATATTACATCTCGATTGTGATTTTTGCGTAAATTGGCGTTCTTGATCTCAGAAACAAATATACATTAACAATTTTGATCTATTAAATAGTGCAGAATAACTATTGGCTTAGTTCGTAGCGGCCTCGCTTTTTGTAAATTTTGCTTAACTTTTTAATTAAATCCAAAATTGCAGAGAAAGATTTTCATAAAATGCGCGAAGGCACTTTTTTGAGCTCCTGGATTGAACTACTGTTCTAAGCAAATTAAATAAAAAAATGAGAATGTTATCTCCTATATTATTATAGTCGTATAGTTCGTAGCGGCCTTAGAATTTTGAAATATCTTCGATTTAATATAGAATAAAACTTATTCTAAACCTAAAAATCTTCGAAAATCGCTTAAAGTTAATTGCGATTTACTCCTATTTACGATAATATTACTGAGCAAAATTTATACCAAAACAATTGTTACTTCATGAGGTATAAAGAATTTATAATTTTAAAGCATGAATCTATTCACTTATTTCAATTAATACGATAAATACAACTGCAAAATTACTACAAAATGCGATGCGCCGGTCGTCCGAACTCAGTACTGCGCGAGCGCTCCTCAGCGTCGTCAAATTTTTTCTCATGTTTTGCGCCATAATCGATCGAGCATCAGAGTATAGTGCGACCAACAAGTTTTGATCAGGTAAGTATAATTCTTTTAAGTGTTTGTTTTATATGGAATCTACATAGCATTGTGTTCAATTATTCTTTAAATATTAATATTTATTTATTATTTTTGGCATACCATACATATATAATATTAACATATAATAAAAATGTAAACGGGCCAATTTTGCTTTATTTTTTTAAATTGTCTTCTTATGATTTTGATGAAATTTTGTTTTTGTATTGCTATTCGTCCTCTGTAATAAAAATTATTTTGAAGATAGGGATAACTAATTTGGAACCATAGCAGCCCAGCCAAACTGTAAGAGATACAAATGTAGACACAATGAGTATTTTGTAATGACCTAAAAATCGAATGTCTGTTGCACCTGATGTGAAACTCTATCAACCCTGCTAAAGTATAAGAGATATTGAGCACTAATCATTTATAATGTCACTGTTTCAGAATGAATAACTTCTCTGCCAAGAACACATTATTATTTCCGATGGATAAAGAAAATATCCCGACATTATCACTACTGTATTATTGTAATGATAATTAATTGATTTTTGACACAGCAATCAAATGTAGATCAACTACTACATATTATTTTTCTATTTAAGATGTAATACTGTATAGATAGGTAATCAAATGCATATGTCCTGCAGTTGTGTTTTTAGTAATAATGCACACAGGTACTTATTTTTTTTCTATTTGCAATCTAGTATCCATATGTAATTGGGAGTAGTCATGCTCTCTTAAAAGTCTCTTTGGCGGTGTCATGTGAGGCGGATCGTTACGTTCCCTAAAACATGGTTGAGCGAAGCGATGGCTGGTTCATGCGTCATGCTGGTTAATGGGTGCTGCCAGCAGATATGTGTCTGCTCTTGCTACATTAAATGGGGTCCCAAGGAGCTTCAATGGCGACCTCGAACCGGGAAGCGCAGTGTCAGTAGACCCCTCACGTGGTGGAGTGACGACATCAAGCGAGTCAGGGGGACCTACTGGATGCGGAGAGCGCAGGATCGTGTCTTATGGAAATCCCTTGAGGAGGCCTATGCCCAGCAGTGGACGTCCGTCGGCTGATAATGATATCGTTATACTTTTTTATTATGTCTTAAGTGTCCTACACGGCGTTCTTAAAGTATCTGTTAAATAAGTATTTTTAAAGTGTTAGTATTTTTTTATATATTTTATTTGTGTTTGTAACGGAAAATGACTTCATGAATTATCTCATATTGAAGTCATTTTTAAATTTGACGGCTTTGTATATAATGGCAGGGAGAAAAAGAGCCCTTGCTGAGTTTCTTGCCGGTTCTTCTCAGTACAAGGTCTCCCGCCGTAAATTTGCGAACCGGTGACATAGCATTTCGTCATTCACAAATACTTGTAACAGCCTAGACTGAATAAATCATATTGAGTTAGAGTTTGATTCGTTACAAGAAAAACGTTTTATTTTTGAGGGAGTACATTTCTGACATCTGTGAGTTACTCGTAACAGGGTATTCCTATTGGCCACCTCATAGCAGGATACCGCGGTGGCTAAGAGTAATATACCGTTATAATATGACTAACTGACAAATGTCAAGAACTCATTCTCTCAGCGAGCAGGTTATAATATGATGAATCTGAAATAAGCTCATGACTGTTGCTTTTTCACACAAAAACCATTAGATCGATTTGATTGAAATTGGGCAAATATGTAGTTCTGACTTAGGGTGTTTTATACTGTCATGTAAATAACCAAACATAAAAGTAATATATATCTATAATAATATATAAATAATAATAAATATCTAATCTTTTATTTTAATCTAAAACGAAAAACATAAAAAATAAATTTTGTTTTGAACAAATATCATCTGTCTTATTTATGGTATCATCTTCATTTAATCTGTTTATTCACATATGAGAACCTCCATGGCACTCTAAAAATGTGCGAGTATAGCGATAACGAATTACTACATAGAAATACTAAAAATATACAAAACTTGGAAAAAAGTATCAAAATCGCTTGGTCGTAGGTTCAACACAGTATTGTAAACTCGTGACCTTCAATGAGTTGTCGGGAACGCTTCAAATACCCATTCTCGTAGAGTGCAGATTTGTAATAGGGCTCTTAAGCATTTAACTGCTAGATGTTTAAATCTAAAGAAAAGTTTACTAGAAAAAAATCCACGCGGACCAGGCAACGGACGGGACTCGAACCCGCATCCTTCGCAATCCGGGCGAATGCACTGACCATTATGCTACCACGGCTCTCTTAGCCGCGTCGAAATTTTCCTAGCCTTAGGCTGCAAGGCAGCGTCATTTCTTCGCATTGTAGGCAACCCACAATATCAAATGAATATTTTTTCAAGTAATAAACATTTGAAAGAAGAAAAAAAATTGGTGGTGGTAAAAAAAAAGTGGATTTTTTTCTAGTAAACTTTTCTTTAGATTTAAACATCTAGCAGTTAAATGCTTAAAAATAAATAAAATCATAACTATAATTGCTATTTCTTCTTTCAAATGTTTATTACTTGAAAAAGTATTCATTTGACATTGTGGGTTGCCTACAATGCGAAGAGATGGCGCTGCCTTGCAGCCTAAGGCTAGGAAAATTTCGACGCGGCTAAGAGGGCCGTGGTAGCATAATGGTCAGTGCATTCGCCCGGATTGCGAAGGATGCGGGTTCGAGTCCCGTCCGCTGCCTGGTCCGCGTGGATTTTTTTCTAGTAAACTTTTCTTTAAATTTATATGTCTTCTTTTTAGTGAATAACGACGATCAAGAGCTTACCCATTAACATATAATAAAACCAGCATAATTTTAATTTGAGTTTAGTATTAGTCTACCTTTTCTAATGAAGTAGTAGTTGATTTTAAACATCTTCGATATTTCAGAATTATTCACCGCCAACCAACCAAGTCCATCCACAAACAATCATACCTATGCCCAACGAAGACTTCGACGGTGAACAAATAGTAGAACCAGAACGGCCTACTTCACCCCACGCTGTGGCCAAGCCTACACCCAAACCGACGTCGCTACAACAACGCATGTTGGCTCTTTCTGGCCAAAACATAGACGATTTCATGAAAGAGATGGAGGAAGTGCACAGAAAGAGGGAGAGAGACAGAGCTGCGGATTTGAATGCCAGGTTTGTATTTAGTAAATTAAAAAAAAAATCTGCATTCAGTAAACAAGTGTTATTGTCAGTAAGTGATTTCATAATTGGTTGGATCAAAGAAAAAATTCTAGGAAAAATACCAAGAAGTCGTAATTGGCTTATTATTTTGGTTTTAAGACATTTAATAATTATTTGTTTCTTTGGCTTTCACGCACACCACTCATTAAATAAAACAAGTTTCAATGGAATAGATGCACTGATTTAGTTATTGACGTTTCGCATCCTTTTCAGGATACGTCGTCTAAATTATAATTTTATTTAAAATCATAAATCAGACTTTCATATAAGTAAACGACGACGACGTATCCTGAAAAGGATGCGAAACCTAAATAAATAAGTAAATCAGTGCATCTATATCGTTGAAACTTGTTTTATTTAATAAAATAATTATCTCATTTGAAGCATCAATCATCAAATTGCCTGCAGTCGGTTACTACTTTAGAATGTTTATTTAGTCTTAGTCTTTCCTTCGGCAAATTTTTATCCGCGTACTACAATAATAAACGTAAGCATCGATTTATCAACTTAAAAGGGTCACACTGGCTCGTACAAATTTTATGGTCATTCGATCTTGATTTTGTCGCATTGCTATCAACATAATTGGGACTGTAAAACAATTGACCGACAGTGACACATAAGGGGCCGAGCCCCAAATTAAAATGGCCTATCCTCCAAGTGCTTATCCATCGGCTGCCAATTCATCAGCATTGTATAGCATAATCATCAAATTATGAACACATTTTCCTATTATTGAATTGAATAATGGCACATTTCATTTAATCGTTAGCCCGTATTCCCGTATTTAAATAAAAGGAAATCTACCCGAATACGGGCTTACTCGAATCCGTTCATTTACTCTTAGTCGTTTACCTGAATTCCATTGGCACTCATATTCGGGCTAACGACCAAGTGTCATCGTGCCATAACATAAATTATTATAATGTTAGTGACCATAAGGCTAACTTCAGAAGGTCACGCTACGTCGCGCGTAATCGCGCATCAAAGAAGTTCAGATGGCAAGCGATAACATACGACAGTCGGATTGAGACCAGTGATAGAGAATGTAGGTGGATGAGGCAATCTGACTGACGACTGCAGATGCAGCTGTGACCAACGGCTTAACGTGCCTTGCGAAGGAGCTCGAGATAGTAAATTTTTGGTCACCCGTCCAATGAACGACCACTGCGAAAGCTGCTTAACTCCAACTATCGCGGCCGAACGCGCTAGCCACTTGCGCCATCGATTGTATTCATCATACAAACATCTGCCGGACCGGGATTCGACCTGCGGTCTCTGGTTTCATAGTTAAAGTTCATTCAACTCGTAAAGAAAGCATGATTAGATTTTACAATTTGTTATTTAAATATTAGTATGCTATATAATAGTACGAGAACCACAAAGTCACAAAACCCTGGATTGTTTATTGATGTTGTAATAACTTACCTAAAATCTTTTCCTTTTCCTGTGATTAATCACCATTATAAAAAACACGTTGTTTTAATCTTTTATTGGAACACTCTGTAAAATTGAAATCCCAAATAGCGGGTCTCTTATCAATAAACAAATCGATGTTGAAAATCGTCATCCATTTTCGCTGTTAACCGTACCTTTGTTCTCAACAAGTCTGAACGGGTACGGGTAGATACTTGAGTCAAGTATCGACGCGTCCGTTCCATAGTCGTTCATAGTCAAGTAACTTGACTATAGGAACTCAATACGCGCGCATCAAGATACCTGCGACGGAGCAGCGCCGATACCACGTGAGCGCTCGATTACGCGCGATCATCTGAACGGTCTTATGTAATACTTATAAACTCTATCCGCGCGTTAGAGTTTTCACGCGACGTCGCGCGCTACAATCTGAACTTAGCCTAAAACTAAAAGAAAAATATAACATTATTCCCGAAGATTGAACGCGTTGAAACGCACCGGCACAGAGGCGCGGGACAGTGATTCGGACAGCGACACTGAAACAGCGCCTCCTCACATCCAGCCGCAGGAGTTCCTTGAGCCGCCCGGCGCGGAGATGAGGCAGATGCCGCCGCCGCTGATGCCGCCCGGTGAGTGACTGTAGATATAACATATAATATATACATTCCCCGAAGGTTAGACGCGTTGAAACGCACTGGCACAGAGTTGCGGAACAGTGATTCGGACAGCGACCGCCTCACATCCAGTTGCAGGGGTTCCTTGAGCCTCCCGACGCGGAGATGTGGCAGATGCCGCCTGGTGAGTGACTGTAGATATAACATATTATACACACATTCCTCGAAGATTGGACGCGTTAAAATGCACCGGCTCAGAGTTGCGGAACAGTCATTCGGACAGCGACACTGAAACGGCGCCGCCTCACATCCAGTCGCAGGGGTTCCTCGAGCCTCCCGACGCGGAGATGTGGCAGATGCCGCCTGGTGAGTGACTGTAGACATAACATATTATACACACATTCCCCGAAGGTTAGACGCGTTGATACGCACCGGCACAGAGTTGCGGGACAGTGATTCGGACAGTGACACTGAAACGGCGCCGCCTCACATCCAGTCGCAGGGGTTCCTCGAGCCTCCCGACGCGGAGATGTGGCAGATGCCGCCTGGTGAGTGACTGTAGATATAACATATTATACACACATTCCCCGAAGGCGTCTAAGCGTTGATACGCACCGGCACAGAGTTGCGGAACAGTCATTCGGACAGCGACACTGAAACGGCGCCGCCTCACATCCAGTCGCAGGGGTTCCTCGAGCCTCCCGACGCGGAGATGTGGCAGATGCCATCCGGTGAGTGACTGTAGATATAACATATTATACACCCATTCCCCGAAGGTTGGACGCGTTGAAACGCACTGGCATAGAGTTGCGGGACAGTGATTCGGACAGCGACGATATAACACTCAAAGGTAGACTTTTTATTTTTTTCTTAGGCGCCTCGACGTGCATTATCAGCAAGATGGCGGGATTAGCGCGTTCGAAAACGTTCGCAGTGGTCTTTTGCATTGAATAAGTGACCAAAAACTTATCATCTCGATCTACAACGTGCTTCGGATGGCACGCTAAGCGTTATTTCCGGCTGCATTTGCATTCTGCACACAACAATCCATACTAGGCTCGCGTTGTGGATCATCGCCCAATCTCCCTATTCCATCCTTAGGGATGGCCTGTGCACCAGCAGTGGGGACATTAATAGGCTGATATGATACACACAGCAAACTTCTTGAGCTAAACCATGGACAAAGGAGCCTGTGCAGTAGCAATTTTACTTACAAAAACGTTGCGCATTTTTTTTGTCAATTGTTTTACTCAAGGCGTTTTCCGCTACCTATGTATACTTCGAAAAAAAATGGAAATCAATATATTAGTATGTATATATAAAATTCTCGTGTCACGGTGTGCGTAATTGAACTACGCCGAAACGAAATTCAGTAGGTCTGAGAATCGGACAATATCTATTTTTCATCCCCCTAAATGTTAGGGGTGGTCCACCCTTAAATTTGTTTTTTTTTGGACAAAATATTTTGTTTATATTTTTTTATGATACACCATACAAAAATAAATATACAACCCTAAATTTTCACCCTTCTACCAGCAAGACCTATTTTATGGCGGTACGAAGTTCGCTGGGTCAGCTAGTATTAGTATACAAGTATGTCCATCGGTCAAGAATTTTTTGTCATCAACTCCTTCTGTTAGACTAGCGAGGCGATTTGATTGTATGGCTAGCTGCTTCGCGAAAAATAGAACTCATTAGACCTAGAGAAGGGACTCTAAGGTCCGTATTATAGAAAGATTCTCAGTGATTGATCTAGTCTTGAGCATAGTTAGAAAGAGATGTTGCTATATATAGCACATAGTGACATCCCTTTCTAACACTTAGTTGTTATTCTGTAATACGGGCCTTAATGCCTGAGTTAGGTCAACTCCTGTTTCTTCTGTATATAACGCCGGCATTTCACTTGGCTATTCGTATACGAATATCGAAGTGAAGTACCGGCATAACATCATGCTGCACAGTCTGTTGCAGTAAAAAAAACAGGTTCTGATGACGCAGCCATTTATTGGCCGTTGATATTATATGTTTACGATAACATGTGATTTATCCAACAGGTCTCCGTCTACCAATCCGCGCGCCTCTAGGCCTCCCGCCTCTCCGTTTACCCCCCGGGCCGCCCGCAGGCCGTCCTCCGGCGCCCCCGGGGCCCCCGCCCGGGCTGCCCCCGCGGGGAATGCTGCGCCCCCCGGGGCCCCCTCCCGGCGCGCCCCCACGTCTGCTGCGCCCCCTAGTGCCGCCCCCGCCGCCTAAAGCGATGCCGCAAGTGTCCGTGCTTACAGCCGCACCGCAGCTCATACCGAAAAAGGATGGACCTCAAGGTAAGTGCTCACGACAAGTTTGTAGATCAAGATAAGTGCAGTTTGCATCTAAAGCAGTGACGCAAGGATTCTGACTGCTTCACTGAAGCCTATTCCGAAAAAATCTCACTCTGGTCCGTGTCACGCGATAAAAAAGCAGATTTGCGTGCTATCTGTAATCTATAATATAAAAATAAATCGCTGAATGTGTTGCTAAGCGCAAATCTCGAGAACAGCTGAACCGATTTCAATAATTCTTTTTTTAGAATATTCCTTGAAGTACTAGGATGGTTCTTACGCAGAGATAAATTAAAATAATTGCCTCAAAAAGTTCAAAAACTACACTTTTATATATATAGTCCCATACATACGATTGGTAATACTTAAAAAGTCAATTTGAACTTTAATACCATACCATAAATTTCAAATGTTAGTGGAGATGTTCCGGGAAGGTAAAACAATTGAGTGACATGATGTCAATAGAAGTTTGGAAAAGGCAAATATATTATTTTCAGTTTTTTTTTATATAATTATATGAAGTCATTTTAGTTTAAACTACAGCTCTATACCGAAGCGAAGCGAGGGTGGGCCACTAGTGTTAAGATAATTTTTTTTGTACAATGGTGTGCTAGAAAAGAGACTTGATCCTAACGAAATTGACTAATTTGGCGTATACGCTCCTATCCTTTGAAGTCAATTTCCAGTTTAACATCAGACCCCCGTCTGAAGTCATTTCATATAACTCCGTATGAGAAGTAGTAGATTCTTAAGAGTTGCGTATATTCGCCTATTATTAATACCTTGACGTTAAAGAAGGCGCGATGCGAGGCGTAGTTTGATTTGATGACTTTGACATTGAAACGATGACTTATAAATACAAATTTAACACTAGGCTCAGGTCGTTTCTCTTATTATATTGCTGGCGGATGTGAAAATGAACTTTTATCATTTATTTGCTATCAAAGCTCATTATAGATTTTATTTACGAGATGATGCAATTTATTGTTTATTTGGTACATATTTTACAAACGTAAATCAATACTACTAGGAGTTCTCTCTTAACTCTCTCAAAAAAAATAGTTTTTTTTTTCTTAACAATCTCCTATGATTTATTTGAGAATTTGTAGTGGAAACAAGCTAAATGCTCTTATCCACTATAACTAACAGTGTTATAACGAACGTTAAATCACCAGAAATCTGCAAATTTTATAACCGACATCGATAGACGGCGACTCACACTGTAAGGATACAACGTTGTGTACACTAGATTAAATACCAATTTTAGCTAATTTTCATACCATAAGTAAGTTTTTTGTGGTCAATTAGGGAGTGTCTTTTATTATGTGACCACCACTGTATATATATATATATATATATATATATATATAAATAAATATAAATCAATTGCTGTTCGTTAGTCTCGCTAAAACTCGAGAATGGCTGAACGAATTTATCTTATCTTGGTCTTGAAATGTTCGTGGAGCCCTAGGGAAGGTTTAAAAGGTGTGAAAAATTTGAATAGCTCTACACCGAAGCGAAGCGAGGGCGGGCCACTAGTTTTTTATATTATCAGATGAATACAATTACTCATTGGTTTACCCACAGGAACCACTATCAGTGCGAAGCCACAGATAAGAAACCTCTCGGCTGACGTCACGAGGTTCGTGCCGTCGGCTCTTCGAGTCAAGAGGGAAGACAAAAAAGCGAAACCCGCCAAAACTGGCCTTATACAGAGACCGGCGGATATTCCCAAACACGCGCCCACCAAGGACGATGCTTACATGCAATTCATGAAAGAAATGGAGGGATTATTATAAGGGGCACGATGGAACTGTATATATTTTACTTATCTGTATGGACTAGTTAATAAATAATACTTAAGAACAGTACGTGTGTTTTTATTATTGTAAAAATGCTAAAGCTTATAGGAATAGGTTTTTTTTGGGAATGGTGGAGTCTGATAATGTATGTACCCAATTTTGTAAGAAGACGACACGTACTGTCCGTATTTGTAAAATTAATCTGTCGTCTGTACTATTAAAATAAGTGAAGTATTCTATAGTGCACAGAGCGTCTGTTATTGAAAATTTACAATTTACTACAATTTTGAACCTTATTACAGCGCTCGTAAAGTTTAAAATCGATTACTATTAAATAAAACTAGTTTTTTACGGGTTAATGCACGAAACTTTATTTATTTATTGACGTTTCAAATAAAGTTTCGTGCATTAACCCGTAAAAAACTAGTTTTATTTAATGAGTGATGTGCTTGAAAACCTAAGAAACAAATATCGATTACTATTATTGTAAATATGATTTTGTCCACTCCACCTGATATTAACTGTGAGTGGACAATTTAATTGCAAAGATAGTTGTTAGTCACAAACACGCACATCTTCAAGCTGTGCCAAGATAGTTGGCTACCGTGTTAAGATGAGTCAACAAAATATGCCGTTCCAACCTCACCTTGCGGGACTGAACTCTATACCTCTGTGACGCTTTGAAACCTTACCCACCGGCAGAAACTCAACAACACCGAAAGGTAGATACTGCTTACCTTCACTCACAGAGCAATTGCAAGTGGGAGTTATTTCCCCAAACCTCTCGTATTTTTTTGTATTATATATTTAGTTGAATCAGTAGTTCCTGAAATTAGTGCGTTCAGCTAAACAATCAAAAAAACAATCTCTTCAGCTTTATAATATTAGCATAGATTTAGCTGTGTATAAATATAGCAGTTACCTACCCTCCAGAAAACGGGGAACAAGTGGAATGGGATATTAATATGTAAAGTTGTTAGACTTTTGACAAAAATCCACCTCAAAAGTTGCCTTTGACCAAAAGGAGAAGAGACGACGCAATGATGCCATGCCTTCCAATGATTGATGATCCTTAAGATTATCGGAATAAGGGCCGTATTTGCAAGATCCGACGAGCTTGTGCATCAAACAAAATTTGTTCATGAGAAAGAAAAAGTAGCTACTACATAGTATATCACATTTTGCCAATAAATTCATTCATTAGCGTATGTTTATGTTTTTGTTCCAGAAATGTAGGTACTAGCATGCACGCTCAATTAAGCATGACACGGGGTTAACGTCTGATTATACGACTAAAACATTGATATAATTACGTTTTTCGCTGATACGTTAATTATTATGAAAGTAGTAGGTACATAATTTCTTTTGATTAAATAAGTCCTTTAAGAATGTCTATACTTTGCCTGTTAGGGTAGTACCTACCTTTTTTTTGTCTGGGAAATGTATTACGCATCCTTCAACCACCGGGGGAGCGAGAAGAAGGTATATGGGACTCCTCGCTGCTCGTTTCAGCCAGCCCTTGGGCCGGACAATAGTCCTGCACTGGTCACCCTACATGCATTGTGAGGACCGAGGTCCCCCCAATGCGTGCCGGGAGTGCGGGTGTGTTCGCTACAATCGTTTCCAACTGGTCGCGCACCTGCAGGTGATTGTCCGCAAGCAGACCCCACCCGATAAGGGGAGTACCTACCTACACTAGTAGAACGGAACGTAACAGCTAAACTGTTCCAGTAAGTATGTGTTAAAATGAAAATACAAATACCTACAAGTACATAAAAGCAGCGCAGCAAATCAGCAATAAGTCGATCAATATTCAAAACAATCGATTGATGGTAACTTGCTGTATTTTATTAAGAGATTACCTACGTAGAGGCACGGTTAGGATACTTACCTACCCTAAAATTCCGGCTGAAAACTTGTGGTGAAACACAAATACATTCGACTTCTTTCTTTCGCCCCTCAGGTTCGAGTGGTCTAGAGGCTCCAGACGGGGAGGAGACTTCCCCCGAGGGGAGATGCTATCGCCTATAATACCTCTAGAGGCACTCGCCAGTTCTCGGTTTGATGTCTCTTTAGGATCTCGCCGTCCCCAAACCCGGGGGCCATTCGCCTAACGGGATTGCAATGGAAAACGCTATTGCTTACGATTTCATTTTGTTATTTCTGACTGCCGAAGGTTTTCAAATGCCTAACGCTCATTTTCTTTAATATTCTTATTAACAATGCAAAAGAAAAAAAAATAGCGCGAGGCATTTGAAAACCTTAGGCAGTCAGAAACAACAAAATGAAATCGTAAGCGATAGCGTTTTCCAAAGCAATCCCGTTAGGCGAATGGCCCCCCGGTGACGCTGTAAAGTTCATTTGCGACCAACAGCAAACACTAAAAAAACAAACTTGCTAAGTTTGTTTCTTAGATTTTCACGCACATCACACATTAAATAAAACAAGTTTAAACGGTTAGATGCTTCAAGTTTATTTAATTATTAACGTTTTGCGTCCTTTGCAGGAACGCGTCGTCAGAATAATCATTTTTTATTGATTGATGAAAAATGATAATTCTGACGACGCGTAACTAATAACACCTCCCAGTCAAAATCTCTTTTTGCTGAGTGGCTAATGATGTGTGAGGTCTAGCTTTATCATGAAGAAAAATCACACCCCTTTTTTTGATTAATTCTGACCGCTTTCTCTCAACTTCTTGCTTTAATCCCATCAGTTGTCCGCAGTAGTCTTGAATCGATGGTCCTGCCTGGCGGTAACAAGTCATAATGAATAATGCCCTTCCAATCCCACCATACACACAACATCACCTTGTTGCGAGTTAAACCGGGTTTTGCCAGGGTCTGTTGAGCCGTACGTACGTGATCCACTTTTCATCACAAGTTATCAGCTTCTTAAAAAATGGTTCAGTTTCATTACGTCGTAATAAAGAATCACAACTGAGTACACGGTTCATTAGGTTTCTTTCGGTGAGTTCGTGAGGCACCCAAATATCGAGCTTTTGTGTTTATTTTGTGTACCCAGCTTTGTTTTGACGCCAAATGCGCCAAAACTGTTTTGTGGTCAATTTCCAGTTCTTCAGCTACGTCGTTACTAGGGATATACCGACCATGCTCCACTTTTTTAAAAATGGCATCCATTTAATCCTTAATAGAGATTTAGAGAGATCACAGCGAAGTGCATGTTTGAGTTCAAAATTTTCGGATTGAAAACGCTTAAACCAAAATAGTGCTACTCTCACAAACACTGCACTTGATCCATAAATATCAGAATTATTTTTCGCGGCTTGCGTTGCATTTTTACCTTTTTTGTAGTTAAAATTTAATACGTATCGAATTTTGTTCATTAGAATTACAGTAATTAAAAACAAATGAAACTTACACATTTCTCTAATTTGAATTTAGATTTAGGTATCTTCTTTAAAATTTAAACTTCATCTCATCATCTTCATCAAAACCAGCCAGATACAAATGGTACAGCTAAAGAGATTTTATTACAAGTTCATACATACTACAATGCGAAAGACTCTTTCCCCAACCTATTATAAATAAAGTTTACTACAAAACAAAAATCTAGGCCGAGGAGTCAGGCTGGATGGAACGAGTACATTTTTTTAAGAACAAATTTCTTTAGATATACCTACATACTTACAAATCTATCAGTTTGCTAAAAATCAAATATATTGATATTTTGTTTTTTATGGGTTACAAAACATACATTGATCATCATTATCCACAGTTTACAGAACTCATTATCCTTCTCATGTCATATTATACCAACACATTGAAACGTAAGGTACTCTTGACGAATTGAGAACCTCCTCCTTTTTGAAGTATGTTCAAAATACGACCAGATACTGATTCATGTAATTTGTGGTAGTTTCTTCTGGCAGATGGCATGGTAACTATTGTAATTTAAATAAGTATCTAATAATACTGATAGATAAAATAAAAAAATCAGCAAATGTATCTATACACTTCAGAGTAAAGAAAACGGGTCAGTTGAATGTCTTCTAATAAAATTTTAAAATCAGTACTAAATATTTTTTTTCCAATGAATAGGAAACTAAGCATTTATTAGTTATTTTAATTCTGTCAATAATGATTGGTCTGTTCAATTTTATAATGCGCTTTATTTTAATCTTTGGTATCCATACTACTTAATCCTAATTCGTTTACAACTATCATTAACATATGGCTAACAGTTCGGAGGCTGAGCATGGTCGCATGCAGCAACTCTTGATGACCTTCTCTCTCATATCCCAGCTCTTGTTTGTTACTTCTCTTGGTATTAAAGACATTCCATTGTCGAAGTACAACTCTGCAAAAAAAATACTTCTTTAAAACAACGCTTCTTAACTGTGAGTAGTAAGGTAGGTACAGCGAATTCTTCATAGAATTGGTCGGGTGTGTATATTGGAAAGTAGTCTTCAATTTAAATACAGTATGTTTCTTTTTTATTCATTCCTGGCTTGACGCTTTCCTTCGCCGGAAGCTCGATGCTGCTTCGAAAGCTCAATGAAATTAGCAGGGCCTTAGACAGTAAGAACTAGAAAATATTCTTGCATCTATCACCGGTCACGTATTCTGTAGACCGAGCTCCCTCCAATGGGTATCGGGAGAGCGATAAATAAAGTATGTTCCTGCTTTTAATACAGTTTACAGAGCTCCACGTGGTAGGCATAGGATTTGGCGACAAGGCCTTAGGACAACACTTTACTTATTAGGTACGAGACTATACAGTCAATCTTTAAACATGTTTCATATTATAACACTACATCTAAGTTAATTGCATCCATTACGCTTAAATAAAATGAAAAATGATCCCATAAATTTAACTAAACGAAATGACGCAAAATTTGTTTCAGCAGTTAGTGTAAGGTTTCCTTCAAAAACAATTAAATATCTGCGTAATAGAAGCTCAATAAGATCAGAAAAAGGATATACGTAATTCCACAACTCAGAGGCAAAGTAAATAAAATGTATTTTTAACCATATTTATTTTTTGGTCTTATCTATCATAAAATAAAGCGAACATTTGTTTAAGTGATATCTACTCGTATCTAGGTA